TCTCAAAACAGGTACAAGACTGCCCAAAGATGTCCAAAGATCTGTTTCCAATAGGCTAGGTAGTGTATTTGTGGGTTTGGAGTTAAGAAAATGTGAAATGTCATTCTAGCCCAGGTCTGAAGCCCGTTGACCGCACGTGCGGAAGAATCCTCGCAGGTGCGTCTCCGCTGATGTAGATCTCTTATCACAGATGCGGAGATTGAAGGGAAATTCTGGCTCCGCAGATGCGGACTCTCAAGCACAGATGCACAACTACAGAAGCGGTTCTTGTCACGCAGATGCGATCCCAGGCAAGGTGGCTCAATTCCGCAGATGCGGACCATTTCCTCATGGATGCAAGTCGCTTCTGCGACCAGTCTTCTGCAGATGCGAAATTACTGGAGAGTTTTGCATAGTTAAACCCTTTTTTTCTCAATTCCACTTCAATTGGATTCAACTCTCTTCGTGGAATCATTTACCTAAAAATCTAACAATACACACCACAAATGCCCTCATATTATAATTAAAGGACATAAAAACTAAAGAAAAAAGATTAGAATGAGTGGTAAAATCACCACTCATCAAAAGTCACCGAAGACGACATCACCTTCACGGAGAAAGATGCCGACAAACTTCTTTTGCCGTATAACGACACCCTGGTATTTTCACTTAATGTTCTAGGTTTCAAGATTAAACATGTATTGGTTGATTCAGGAAGCTCAGCCAACATCATTCAATAGAGAGTGATGGAACAAGCCGAATTAATTGGAAGTATCATTCTAGCAACAACGTTCCTCGCTGGGTTCAACTTGGTAAGTGTGACAACCCGAAGAGAGATCATGCTACCCAAAAACTCCATAGGGGTCACGAAGACCACCTTATTTTATGTGGTGGACGGTTACATAGGCTACAACATAATTCTCGGTAGATCATGGTTACATGAGATGAAGGTTGTATCATCAACATATCACTAGCTGCTGAAATTCCTGACCCCAGAAGGAATCAAATAGATAAGTGGAGATCAACCGGCAGCAAGAAAAATGAATGTAGTGTCGATTTCCAGCAGTAAAGGGAAGGAACCCAGCAAATAGCAATTATAGGAAATGGCGCCTGCTCTTATTCCAAGTGAAAATGATAAGGGCGAGGAGTCGTCGGAATCCCACTAGGTACCAAGATACTTTTAGGTACCAAAATAGACAGACGCGGCCAAATCCACAACATAAGAACTCGGGCAACTGGCTTTGTTCGAGGAATTCTTGGAGAGGAAATTCCACTTGTGTAACGACCTGACCAGTCAGTTTGAGTAATTTGCACTTTGCTTAGTAGTTTGAGGGCATGAGTAGCTCCGTATGATATACTATGACTTGTGTGAATCATCGGTTTTGGTTTTTAGGTTATTCGAAATAGATTTGGAAGAATGAATTTCAGGATTAAAGCTTTAAGTTGGAAGCGTTGACCAAGTTTGACTATGTAGTATTAGACCTCGGATTGGAGTTTTGATGGTTCCGTTAGGTTTGGATGGTTATTTTGGACTCAAGCGTATGCCCGGATTTTCATTTGGATATTTCTAGAAGATTTTGGCGCTATTGGCGAAAGTTGGAAATTTGAAGGTTTGGAAAGTTCATAAGTTTTATCAGGAGATAAATTTGATGAAGTCGGGTTTGGATTGTGGTTCCGGGAACTAGAGTAGCTTCTTTATGTCATTTGGGACTTGTGTGCAAAATTTGAGCTCATTCCGGGTTGATTTGATATGTTTCGGCACGAGTTTTGGAAGTTGAAAGATTCAAAGTTCATTATGTTCGATTTGAGGCGCGATTCATTATTTTGATGTTTTTATGCATGATTTTATGCCTCGAGTAGGTCCGTGTAATGTTATGGGAGTTTTTGGTATATTTTGACAGGGTCCTGAGGGGCTCGGGTGAGTTTCGGATTGCTTTCAGACCATTTTCTCTCATTTTTGGATTGCTGGTTTTTGCTGATGTCTGCAGTGAATCGTGTTCACGTGGGAGCCATCGCGATCGCAAATAAGGATTTGGAACTAGGTTGTTTTATCTCTCGTGTTCATGAGTTTTGAGTCACGTTCACGGTTCTTGTGGGGCTTGAGAAACGTGTTCGCATTGATCAGCCCGCGTTCGCGTAGAGTTGAGTTGTGAAGCTGGGGCTGGGGATCTTCTTCTTCGCGTTCGCATTTATCTTTTCGTGATCGCGTAGTGTAGGTGCACATGATCATCACATTCACATGTGATGTTTCGCGAATGTATAGGGTATTTTTGGAGGCTGCTGAGTTTGTTCTTCGTGATCGCGAAGAATGTCCCGCAATCGCATAGGGTATTTTTGTCCAGTGATTATAAGTACTCTATTTTCGGGGGTTTCAACCATTTTTGCATATTTAGAGATGCGGAGCTTGGATTGAGATGATTTTTGAAGAGATTTTCGTCGTACGGATTGGGGTAAGTATTCCCTACTTGGTTTGGTTGTATTTCGTGAATATATCTTCGTTTTTGGTATTTGATTATGAATTTTAAAGAGAAAATTGAGGGGTTTTGTTTAATGTTTCATAGATTAAATATTCGAGCTTTGAACATATATTCAAAGTCGGATTTGAGTGAAACTAGCATGGTAGAACTCATAATTGAATGAGTTGTCGGATTTTGTGAGTTTTGTTGGGTTCCGAGGTGCGGGTCCGGGTTTGACTTTTTGGTTGACTTTGGCTTTTGATTAAAGAATTGACCTTTATCGATTGGGTTTATTTCCTTTGCATTATTTGATATTCTTGAGTTGCTTTTGGCTAGTTTTAAGTCGTTCGGAGGTCGGTACGTGCGAGATGGCATTTCTAGAGTATTGTGTGGCTTGCTCGGTATTGGATATGGCTTGTTCGAGGTAAGTAACACTTCTAAAATTTGTGCTCAGGGTATGAACCCCTAAATATACGTGTTATGTGTTGGTATTGAGGTGACACACATGCCAGGTGAGGGGCGTGTGAGCACGCACCATGTGAATTATGACTCAATTGATTTTGTGGTACTCTATAGTGACTTAAACTTGTTCCTATTCATGACATTTCTACGTGTTAGAGTGATTGAGCTGTGATCCATGCTAGAAACCATGTCTAGGCTATATGCTTATCATATTGGGACCCACTGAGGTCATTTATGTTGTTGAGTTATTTGCTTACAATGCAATTACATACTCAGTCATACTCATTCATTTGCATATCATATCTTAGTCTCTGTTGTTATTTATTGATACATCATATCATCATTTTTAGATTGAGTTTCATGACATTGTAAGCCCGAGAAACTAGAGAGATTGATGACTGAGTTGGGGCCTGAGGGCCGGACTGTGAGTGATATTGATGGGATCGAGCTGCACGCCGCAGTAGGTATTAATTATTCATGATGGGATTGGGGTGCATGCTGCAATAGTCTTTATTAGTTCATGTCGTGATGGTCTTATTATAGCGCTTGGGCTAGATCTACCACTTCGGAGTCTGCACACCCACAGTGAGCGTAGTTGCTATTAATTTTTGGGCTGGATCTGCCTTGTACAGTGTCGCGCCCCCTTTTTCCTCGCGGAGTCCGGGTTTCGACATTTTGGGACAACTCCTTTTCCTTTTGGGAATTGGGTATGAGATTTGAAGAGTCGCCACCTAACAGATTAAGGTGCGTTAGGGCACCTAAAGCAAATAACTCACAAACTAGTTTACATCGCTAGAGATTTGGTTAAGGGCTCAAAATTACCTTGAGGGGAAGGTGTTAGGCACCCTCGAGGTCCACAACGGTGGGTCCTGGCTAAACTCGATTTAAGCGAATTAGTCTTATAAGCAGACAAACAAACAGATATTACTTTTAAAACAAGGAGTAAAAAGGGTCCTAGGCTTTTTAGCCTATAGGATCACTTCTGTGCAATACTTGGTAATCGTCCCCAAGTTGGAGTGCTACACATAGCATTACCGCACAGGTCATCATTTCCTTTTACTACCCAATTACCCTTCCCCTTTGTTTATTGCTAAGTGTTCTAATAACATCCAATACGTGCCCAATGCATGCACTACCCGTCCCTTATCTATGGCCCTGGAGGTGTTTAGGACTTCTATTTAAGGTGGTTCTAGACTCACCTATGGTGCTTAAAAGGAGAAAATCTAAGCGACAAACAAAAAACAGTTAGGACTGTCATATAAAGAGCAATTAAAGGGGCTCATATTTACCTCCACAAATAGACAAAACAAATGCACGCCACTCGAACGAGCAGTTTTTATAGTTTTAGGAGTCCTATGGGCAGGATATCTAAATGAGTACAAACAGAATATGCAGTAGTTCTATTAAGGCGAGGCAGAGAATACTTATCAGCTTGCCTACTCATTTTATCTCTTACTGAATCTGAGCATGTTTCAAGCAACAAGGAAATCACAATTTTAAACCCAGGACTTAATTGTCCTACAGGCTTGCCTAAGTGATAATTGGTAAAATCCTATAGACATGGTATCTAAACATTAATTAAACCATAATTTTATAAACCAGTGATTTAACAGGCGGATTTCACGCAGATTTTATCCTTTACACCCTACAGGCATGCTTTCTAAGTGCCGAAACTGATCACAAGCGTTATTTCATGACATAGAAAACTGATTTTATACACGTTCCCTATAGGCATGATATCTAAATCGTCAAAACTAATTTTTAAACATGATTTTCTATGGACAGGATATCTAAGTGAGCAGAATGTTATCCTTAGTTAATAATTCCCAAAAAGATCCTATAGGCATGGTTTCTAATGCACATTGAGACTTATACGCATGAACATGAACTTTGATACAGAATTGAGAAACGCCTTAGAAACAGGATTTCTAGTGATGCAAAGCATGAAAATTCAGGATTTTAAAGAATGAGATAAGTCATATAGGCATGGTTTCTAATGCATATAAGTAAACAATCATCACAGCAACCCTATAGGCATGATTTCTAATGTATATGAATAATCACAACCCTATAGGCACGATTTCTACCCGATCCCAACAAAGATATATAATAATCCCTCCCAACTTTACTAATAACTCCAATATCTGTTTTTACAAAGATTATTATTACAGACCAATATGAATGAATTACAAAATGAAAATCACTATACTATAGGGAGCCTTCATAGGACCAACATCAGCCTAGAACCAAGTCTTCAAACATAGCACCTCTGAGCGTAATGGTAGCCCGTCCATAGCGCATAAAGCTGGTTCCTGGTGTGTCAAAGTTCCCAAGGGCCTCCGGGACCCTGGGCAATGGTTACACCATGATCGGATGTTCAACAAGATTCACAAAGGATTGGTAAAACCAGCCCCAATGTGTCAGAGTTCATAGGAGTCTCATGGACCCTAAGCAGTGCTCACACTGGGGTGGCAGGACCCTAGACAACTAAGAGTAAGAGTTGGAAAACAGTACACAAGGGTAGGGGATATTTTTATGAAAAACAGTTTATTTTCAGAAGTGAAATAAAAAAAACAGGTTGCAAACAAAACAGGACCATGTTTCAACAGATTGATTGAAACTTAGTTACCAGTAGTTAAGCAAAACAGGAATACTAGATTCATAGACAGAATAGAGTCACAATCAAGGTTTCACATTGCAAGAACTAATTTAGTCTATTAACTATTACCAAATAGAATCATCTATACATGATTTAACAGATAGAAACATGCTGAAGTCAACTGGCGAATTAGACAGCCATACAGAAAAGATGATGATAATCTAAAGCATATTATTCTTGAAAGAAGTATACAGAAACCATGAGTTGATCAGAACATGCTAAGGCAGACTATCAGCATATTAAACAGGACAGGAATTGGGGCATGCTAATTGAGAAATGGGTAAATAAGTGTCATGGATCAAATAGGAACATGCTATCACATAGAACAGGACATGACCTACGTCAGGCTAGTAAAGAGAAACATAGGGCAGAATAGGAGCATGTTGGGACACTAACCACACAGCCACATGAGACAAAGAGGTAACAAGACTAAAGCATACTGGTTAAAATAAACAAGAAACATATAATAAACATGCACATGTTGAGGTTAAGAGTGAACTAATCATATAAGGCATAGAGAATAAAAGCTGAAGCATAATAGTTGAGATGGCTAAGAGGCAAGTATCAAAGCAGAAGTATACTGAGACACATAGCACATAGAAGAGATTATGGTAATAGATGTAGGGGCATACCAGTTAGGAGATAGCAAATAGGAAGGTGAGGGCAAGTTGAATCCAATAGCCTAGTCTTGGCTTTCAACCGACTAGACAGTGCAACAAACACAAGTAACAAAAGAACTACAATGGAGAGTGTGTGTGAATAAGAGTTTGTGTGTGTTTCTCTATCTTTCTGAGTGTGTTTGTGTGTTAGAACAATGAAAGGCTTTTATAGCTGTCACACCTCCTTTTTTACACACCACCTGAAGGTAGTAGAAGGGACTTTTTCCACTTTAAGTGACATTATTCGAAATAGGATTATTTATTTATCAGAGTCGCCACTTGGGATAGTTTATTTGGTGTCCCAAGTCACTGGTTTATTTTGAATCCCAAATCGAGGAAAATTTCGACTTTCCTTGTGAAGTCTGCGAACCAGAAATTCTGAATAAGGAATTATGTTAACCCGAGGGAAGGTGTTAGGCACCCTCGGATTCCGTGGTTCTAGCACGGTCGCTTAAACTATTATAATTGCCATATTATCTGATTTTAATACATGTTTTAGCCTATGGTAAAATTTTAACTTTATAACCGCTTTTATTCATTTTAAAGAAGATTTAACGTCGTCTAAAACATGTCTTTGGACCGCGTCACATGAAATGCACCCGCAATCCGAAACACATTTTATTCTAACGTCATTAAGATTTGGATTTGGGTCACATGAAATGCGCACCCGAGTTTAGGAAGGTAAATTATTAAAATAACGCGCCTAAAGCAACTACGCGTTTTAGCTTTGCGAGGGCCACGGAAAATTTGCTAAATGGCACGCCTCGATTTCTAAAGAACTAAAATTAGTTGAGTGAGGGCCATGGGCTATTCGATGAAAATGGCGGAGGTTCTAATTAAAGAAATCCACTACAAAAAAACTTGGGCGTGAAGTTGCGATATGATTTCGGAAAACCTTCAAATCAATAACATAAAGGGACATTAGCAGGATATACTTTCATTTCAAAATGATCAATTGCAACAAAGATTTGCTGATGCACCAAACCTAATATGAGATATAATTTGATTTGAAAAAGAAGACAAATCTAACGTCTATCCAAACAATTCGATTAAGGTTAATCAAAATGAAGATGTCCAACCACAAATCCATTTTCAGTATCATATAAGATGAAAAAGAATGTGTACATTGAATTATAGTAAAATCTTCTTAGGGCCACTTCGTTATTGTACATAAACTATTCTGTGAACATAACACTCCAAGCACTCATTAATAAGAATGTTCCATAAAAAATGGAAGAAGGAAAACAGAACATACAAAGAACAATCACACAAATTTGTTAAATGGTCTCCTCCCAACTACAGCAGGCTCTTAAAAGCATAACTAGTCGCATGTATCACTCAGAGATAGATGCATAACAAAAATCAATTCAAGTGCGAAAAGCAAATTAACTCATACAGAACCAGTTATCATCAAATTGCTGTTAAGAAAATTACAAGGCACTCACACTTTATTGAATAGGCATGATTTTCCTCTGCGACAATGAAATCCCTAGCTGCATGAGGATTAATTTTTCAAAAGAAAGAAGGCCAAATGGAGGCTGAAATCAACAGCAAATCAGAACTCAGCTACAGCGATCCAGCAAATCAAACAGTCAGAGTGTATTTCACAGCTCATTAAGTCTTTGAATTTTCCAGAAAAAATCAGTGAGATGAATGGAAACTGAAATAGCTTGGAATCACTTTTTAGCTTGCGAAATTTCCATATTTGAGAACTTTAGAAATAGGTTGGAGATGATGGAGGAAAAAATAGAGGGGAGATGCGCCGCTGCTCTCTCGTCTGATTTTTTGGTTTCTATAGTCTTTTTATACGTAGGTGGTAGGGTAAAGTGTAATGGGTATTTGGGTAGGGAGATTGGGCTTGGGTTGAACAGATTTTGGGTATAGGATTTTGCCCAAATTCAAATTAAACTCTTTTTCTAGTTTTCTTTTTTTTATTTTCTAATTTTTCCCTTTTCCTTTAATTAAAATCCTACAAATTAAAAATCCTAAATTATCCAAAAGTGTGAAATTAAACTAATTAGCTAATTATAAAATTATAAACAACACTTAATTCTATATTAAAAGTGAAAAATCAATAAACCAAAATTAAAAGACAAAAATGTAAAAATGAGCTATTTTTGTGATTTTCAAATTTTTATAAAGCAAATGATTATGATTAATTCTAAAAATGTAAAAACAAATCCTAAATGCAATACATGATATTTTTGATATTTTTTCATGATTTAAATAAAAATTAAACGTGCACAAAAATGCAAACAATTAATAAAAATCCTACAAAATCCTATAAAATGGTAAATAATTAGAAAAAATCTATATCCTTGGGATTCTGTAGGAGTATTTCATGTAGGGAAAAAATTACGTGCTTACAATAGCATACAATAGAGCACACAAATAAGGTAGGAAATCAATTGCACACAAATAAGGCAAAGAGATCAGTTAGTCAATTAGGGCTAACATGAATCAATTAATAAGCAGAATTAAGTAAGTATCCCTTAAATTAAGGAAAATCTCACACGGAGTGAATCAAAAGACAAGATTGAGGTTTAAATAAGGTAAGTAGTAAGTCTAAAGATCAATCAAAACACATAAATCAGACCAGTAGAGGAATTAAGGGAGGTAGTACCAATTATTAATCACACATAAGGAAAGAATGGGTAAAAATCCTATAAGGAAATATCAGTTTTAAAGGGAAGCACAATTTCAAACCCTAATTAGGAAAATAAGTAAATTAATACGTTAATTGACAGAGCTAGGTAAGCGAGCAAAACATTATAACCAATAGTCAGATAATTGAAAACCCTAAGGTGTAAAGCCATAGAGATGAAACTCCAGTAAGATCAGTCGATAAAAGCAAAGAAGAAAACCAGAGTTGAAAAATGCCTAAACGTTTAAAACATTTTGTAGAAATCTCTTAGAAAAATCGAAACCCTGACTTTTAGAAAAAAATGAAATTGGTTGATAATAATAGCAAAAACGGAAAAATCTTAAGGGAAAAATACCAAACGAACTCAAAACCCTTCAGATCTAAAGAGATCTAACGGATCCAACCAGTTATAACTGAGTTTATATTAAAAAAAGAACAAAGGTGGAAAATCTGGTTCGAACCAGAGATTTGAAGTCATGAAAACACGAAAGTGACAGTACTCACAGACATAGGGTTGAATATAGGCGGATTAATCGAAAAGATGAGAGATTTTGAACTAAATCTGGTTCGAATCCCTTGAGATCCCATCAAGTAACATGAAAATCGAACAACCAGTAGAGATATGAGGCCGAATAAGGCCTGAAATTGAAGAAAGAACCCATGAATCGAGAGGGGTAATAGTGACGGCGGGCTAGGGTTAGAAGGGGGTGAGAGAGAAAAGAGGAGGGAAGGGGTTTTAAGGACGGCGGGTTTGGAAGAATGGGGTAGGGTTTATGAGGTTAGGGTAATTAAAAAGGAAAGATTGTCCTGGACCATTGATCTTCTGAGATCAACGGCCAGGATCGAATCTGGGTTGGGTGGGTTATTGGATCAGGGCATTGGGTTAGTAGTTGGGCTGGGTAATTGTGTTAGGCATTTTAGGTGTTGGGCTGGGTATTTAGGTCCGAAAAATTAATTGAAAGAGGCTATATTTTAAATACCCAATTAACTTAATAAAATAATTTATAAATGATAAAAAATACCATTTGGGCATGAAAATGATTTAAGATAATTACTTAGTATTATAAAAATATAAAAGGTTATTTTCTTGTGAAATAAGGTAATTATACACACATGGGTTATTATTGCAAAGTCATTGCAATTATAACCCTAACATGTACATATGGCTATTCATGAAATAATTAAGGCTTAGTATAAATATAAATGATAAAATTAAGCAATAAAATTATCATAAAATCGTTCGTAGTGCAATTAGCACTACTGGAAAATAAACCTATGGCAACGCAGAGAAAACCGTTGCGGTACATAAGATAACCGTTGCCATAGGTCTATTGCAACGTTTTTGCGCCCGTCTAACTAGGTCGCGTAACTGCAACGGTTTCGAAAACCGTTGCCTAGAGCAGTCTATCGCAACGGTTATTTATCATTCTACTGCGACGAGTATTTTCAATCAACCAGAACGGTTCAAAGGCGTTGCAATATATATTTGTGTAACGGTTATTTATTCTGTTGCAACGGTTAAGTTAGGATATTACGATGATCTTTTACCGCTTTTGCAACAGTTTAATAGATATTGCTACCGTTTGTTTACAGTAACAACAATCTAAAAGGTTCTAATGCAACGATTTTTTATCTATTGCAACGGTTTATTGTCATATTGCAACAGTTTACATGGTTAATTGATACCGTTTTTGTTACCTATAGCAACGGTTGAGGTAAGCTATTGTAACGTTTTAATTGAACCAATAATATACTCCCTGATAGAAAATAAATATTTACATTAAATTATAATACACAATAATTTATATAAATCACAAAATAAAACTAATCATAAGTATTTACAATCCAAGTTGTAATATCCGTAAAAGCAAAATATTAGAACCCATGTACATAAGTTTAATAATCCAAAAGTTAAGAGCCAAGTACATAAGTTTTACAATCCAAAAGTTAAGAGCCAAGTACAAAAGTTAAGCATGATCTTCATTCCTTTGATCTTCCCTTTATTCATTTTCTCCACCTATAAAAGAGGATAAATAAAATCATTATCTCTTTAAATGCTAGTTAACAATTCAAATACAAATGAAAGGTCAAGTCTTTTAAAGGATTTAAGAATACCAGACACACAAATTTTTTTGACATTATTATGAGTACTGCATTTACTCCAAGAATTCTAGCATTTTTACTGTATATATAGTTGTTTAACCAAATATATAGTTACTAATGAAGCAAGGGAAGTAAGAATGCTTAATTTAGTGTTAGGAGAGATATTGAAAGTTCATCAGTAGACTAGCAAATTAGTGACTCTGAAAAGTATCTCTCAAGCACCATCTGCAATACAATAAAGCTCAAATCCTAATTTTACGTTTACTACTTTCAGTCTATGTACAAAACATGTTAGGAGAAGTACAACAAAAGACAGATGAATTCAACTGAATACATACAGCAACAACATAGGCATCATGTTTCCCTTCACGAGCAGATTTTCCGAGGCCCCTAAAACATTGCCACGCTATTTATTTTTGGATAACTTCTTGTAACAGACTGTATGAAGGATTAACCTAGCTTCGCATATACACTTGACAATCAATTTATTAGCAAGTGTATACAAACTTTGTCGATTACCAAGTGAGATCATGATTCCTCCTTTGACAGCCTAGATTTTACTCACATAACAGAACGGACTGAAACTTGACAGATTGAAAGAGCATTACTGCTTCGTGAAAACTCATTCAATAAATACAGGGACGAGTTACAGGAACATATTACCTATCAACCATGTAGCTCATGGCCTCTATTGTTGTCCCATACTCTTCCTGCATATATACTCTCTAGCCTCTAATCACAAGTAAGGTTCTTATGAACAAAAGGGCTACAAGACAGCAAACATGACAAAAGAAATAGAGAACTACAGCAGATGAATTTGTTATCAATAATTTTTAACACGAGAGCATACTAGCTCTAAGGTTTTTGAAAATAGGAAGTCAACTAGTAGCCCTAGAGTGCAATAGGACTCAGGTCACTAATTATATTGTATTCTCGCTCTGTTATGCATAGTAGACTAGCACAGTTAGACTAAGATCTAAATGACCAATTCTAGCAAATGAATTCACATGCCAAATTTCTGATTCTACATGTCACTCTCGTTGTAAACTTGCTGCATCTACATATTGGAAGAAGAAGAAGATGATGATGAAGAAAGAGAATGACTTCAACAATTTATTAACGAAGAGAATACCGTAACTCTCGTTGTAAACTTGCTGCATCTACATATTGGAAGAAGAAGAAGAAGAAGATGATGAAGAAAGAGAAAAGAAGAAGAAGAAGAGATGCAATATTTTGCAATAATTAAGTACACACCTTGATTAGTACTGCTGCTAGCATATTAGGATCAATTCGTAAATCTGGGTTAATATGCTGAAGTTGTGCAACAACATTAAGTGTAATTTGTTGCCGCCAAGTTTCCTGTTGTTCCTTGAAGTTTTTCTGCATCCTTTGTTGCATTCTCTCTTCCATTTCCTTCATTTTTTGCTCCATTATCTCATCAGTAGTCTTTGAAGAGGGTCCAGAATTTTCAGATTTTTGTTTCAAGATAGTCTTTGTAACCCCACGACCATACAATCTTACGCGACCTGGATGTTTAGGTCCCATGACTGTTGCAAATGCGTCAATTGATTGGCTATCATCTTCACTTTCTTGAGTTTTATTTGCTCCATTTCAGCCTACAAATAAAATTTAAGAGAAGAAAATACAAGTAAATAAAACTGAGTTAACAATTAGGACTAAAAAGATAATCTCGACAAGCTTTAAAGTAGAAATCTTTGTACAATTTTGCGCATTGTATCTTCATATGATTCCTTGTATACTCGACCGGGTTTTCTTGATCTCGTAGCCACAAACATGTCCTTACTTGATGGTTCCTCAAAAGTTTCCTTCTTTTTTTTTCTAGTTACGTGAAAGTCAGCATAAGAATTTTACCAAGTAAGGTTAAAAAGTTCATATTAATGAAAAATAAGAGAAAATACCGAACCTCGCGGATTGTGGCAAAACTTTTTTTGCCAGCAGTGTGTGGATTCTTTAACTTTTTTCGATTCTCAGTATTAGTTTTCGAAGTTTGCTGCAACAAGTAAGCTTTTATGTTAAACATCTAATACATTTCTGCCTTATGCATTTTGATAATCTAAAAAGTGTTGGACACGAAGACAAGGCGAGGAATGAACTTCAAAAGAATTACTCATTCTCTTTGTCCGAAATCAAGTTTACTGTGTCTATAACTTACCTGAGCTTTATCAGACTTCCAGTATTCAAGAAGGTACTTAAACTCAAATTCTGAAACATATGAAGGCTTTTTTTCCATTCGAAGTTCGTCATTGGCATAGGCGTCATAGAATTTTTTCTTCAACCAACACTTATACCTTCTCCAAGCATTTTGAATTGATTGAAAAACCCACTCTCTTCCATCATCATGAATGTCATGTTTTGTCTACAGTTTGGTGTACTTGAGTTAGAGCAAAAATATAAAATATTATCAACTAACAATTGAAACAATGAAAACTTCAAACCTTGATATATGTCCACATATCCTCTTGCCAATGTACCGAGGAAACTTCCCAACTCTTTTACAATTTCGTCAGTAGGACCAATGGGTTGGTTCAAATCACTTAGAACAACCAACTTGCGCTCACTCCCACGCGGCATCTGTGTCCTTCCACTTTTTCGTTTTATAGTGGAAGAGCCTGCAATAGTTACACGAACAAGAGATAATTACCAAATCACTAATGCTAATTTAATTTATGATTGAAATCTATATATTCTTGCCTCGTTTTTCTAATTGTTCAATTACTTCATGAGTGGCAGAATGTTGCTACGTTTGCGGCACTTGTTCCAATACTACTTGTGCTTCAGAAGATGTAGAATGTTGTGACACTTGCTGCACTTGTTCCAGTACTGCTTGTGCAGCAGAAGCCGTAGAGTGTAGAATTGTATTCATTTGCCAACATCTAACGGTGAATCACTATAAAATCAAAGACTCCAATGTCCTTTAGAAATCAGAAAAAGGTAATTTATTGAGTGAGAATCTAGAACTATAAAGAGAGAGGATGAGGAATAGATACTGAAGAAGGAAGAAGAAGGAAGAATGGGCATGGAGGAAGTCCTAGCTAGTTGTCCCCATAGATAAAAAAGTTAAACAGGAGTCACGGTAAAAGCATGTGAAAGGGCTGCTAAAAGAGAATTACATACACGTGTTTGTAGGTCAAAGCACCAATAGAATAAGGCCAAGTTTAACATACAACACAGATAACCTTTTGTATAACGGTTGATTGCGGTGTTCATACACCGTTCACCATTTATATATAGTAGAAATAATGGACATAATTCCATTGTTGCTCATCAAAGTGGTGATGTAAATAAGCAGACTACTACAGCAGCTATGACTAAAAGTTACAATGGACCAGTTCTTGGAAAAGACACTAATGATACAATGGTTTTGATTCGTGAAGGGGTTCTGAGTACTGCTGCTGCAGTTGTTTCAAATTGTGATGTAGTTAGGAGTAATGCTGCTGGTGTTATTGAAGATACAACAGCACCAAATACTACAGCCCCAGCTGTTCCTATAGAAGATGCTTTAAAGTTAGATAAGGGGCCACCTAAACCTTCACGAGATGTCCCTGCCTCTACTGTTTTTGCAAGAATGTACTTAGCTACTGCTGGTGCATTACAGGCAGCTGTTGATCGAGCAAAAATAAGTAAGGTACCTGGTGATGTGAAGCAAGATAAGATAGATGCAGGGGCAGCAGATTGTGCAACAGTGTTGCCTGGGAGGCACACCTCTGTGGGATCAGCTTTACACAACTTTAATAGGGCTGGATTTCAAGCTAGTACAGCTGCACCTCATAAAGCTGTAAAACCAACAGGTGGTACATCTACTGATGCATTTGAAAATGAAAAATCTGTTGGGCAGATTGCTACTACAAAGCATGTGCAGGGGCAAGGTTTTGCTGGTGTGAGTGTTTTGGATAACACAACTGATGCTACACTTGATAAACAAACAATTTTAAAAGGTACAACTGTGCAAAATGAGGGGCAAGAACATGAAGGTAAAGCACAGGTTGGGAAGATGATACTTCTGTCAAGCACAAATGGTGCAACTACAGCAGGAACTGGGAGGTGTGAAGCTAATGGTAGCAAACCAATGCAGGCCTAGAATGAATGTGCAATTATTAAAGGGTTTGTTGGTTTGCCTGATATCAGGAATAATGAGCAAAATTTACAAAAGATCATTAGTAAGCGCGAAGATATAGGAAAGGTTGGTGGCCAGGAGAAAGGGTCTAAAGAATGGTTGGTGGTATCACCTAGCAAAAGGGATACAATAGATCAACCAAAACTGAAATTAGCAGCAGAAAACATCGTTTGTACTAATTCCTTTGATGCGTTAACCATTGAACAAACAGATGGAGAGAATCATAATGGTAAGAAGTTCGAACTGGAGTGTGGTGATACAGCTTCAAAAAATGGAGATAACAGCTCTCCAAGGTAGAATACAACTCCAAAAGTGATGAAGCAACAGCAGATTTCAAACGCTGGATATATTCAACAGAATCAGCAGCAAGCAGTCGTGCACAGATCGCTTAGAAATAGGAGATCTCCAAGCGTGCAAGAAAGGTACCAAACTCTAATTGCAAGCAAGGAGTGGATATGAATAGAGGGGAGTGTTGTAATTCAGTAACACTCGAAATGATTGAAACATTTGGAATAAAGCCTTCAGATCGAGCTACATTAATGAGTTCAAAAAAAGAGAACGGAAAGATTGTGGTAATTGCGGATGAGTGCAAAAACACCAGGAACTATATCAAACCAAGTGCATTAGGAGCTGATATTGTGGATGGCTTGATACCATTGCAATTTCTGCCTGGGGTTTTGTCAGATCCAACAAAGGGACTGTCTCTTCAAGAGTTTAAAGGAAATAATTGCATGGCAGGGGTTGGCTTGAATAAATCACAACATGATATCCCTTCCAATGAATTGTTTGATCGATCTGGCAACATGTTACAAGTTTCAAACAACCAACAAACTTTATCCATGATATCGTCGGCAACAAAAAAGAAAGGGGCTGACGTGATGAGTGAAGCAGATCTAAGTGACGAATCAGTCCAGATTTTAAACAAGCTTCATGAGGCAATTAGCTCTACGCGAAAGTTATGGGCTGACCAAGCAGTAGAGTATGAAGAAGGTGAAGATTATGTAGGTGATTCCCAGGAATGAAACTCTCAAGAAACTTGTTCGTCAACACGACGGGGTGATAACACAAAGGAAGGAGCAATAACTGTTTTTGAGCAGATTTGCAGTACTCCATCAACTATGCTAAGCAAAACGAAACTAAGTCCTAATGCTACAGCGTTTGTACCAACTGGACAGAAGCAAAACAGATCTCTAGGTTCGACAGTAGGGCAGCAGCTAACAGTAGTCGTGAAGGGCAATGATATTCCTAATATGAACACGACATTATCAAACAAGTGAAAAATCACAAAGAAAGGAAACACAACAGTGGAAGAACTCAACAGAACATTAACAGTTTTAGAAACTAAAAAACTCAAATGGTATACCAGAGAATGTATATGATATAAGTATGGTATTTATATACAACAAATGAAAGAACGGTTTGAAGATTAGACTTGAAACTAACTTAAAAAACTAACAATGCTCTGATTAAGCTACAGCAGCAAATTAACTTCAAGTTCAATGATATAAATTATGTAAAAATTAATAGTACCATAAACTTAATTAAGTTATAGACATGATCAAAGAAGAACATAACGTCGGTATATTGTTCGAAAGTATCCATACAGACATTCATTATAACCTCAAAGGAAAAGGAAAAATACAAAAAATAAAAAACAACAATCACGCAATATGTTGTTAAAGAGCAAGAAACAGAGAGCTTATAACATACCCACCTATTAATTGCTTATTTGAATTTTTTTTGGTTTATTATAGCATAACAAAGATTGCAATTTGCAACAAAGACCAAGTAACAGTGAGAGTATGAAACGGAACGAGTGCAATAACATAAATAATACATGTTAATGAATCATGGCTAATTGATAAATCTTATAGTATGCTAGAAACACCCTAACGGTAAAAAATCTAACAATTTTGGTTCAAATAATAAATAACCCAAAATATTAAAGAACAGAGAAATGATTAAAAAAACCAAAAATAGCTAAATTAGAAAACAAGAACTTACAACTTCTTCGGGTAGCGATTTTTCACAGTGTGCCTTTAGCGACAATAATTTCTCGCAATTGATGCTAACTGAGAAACTAATTGTATGAACACGCTCAAGGAATCAATCTTTTCCAGAGAATCTGCCAACAAAAAAACTTGCTTCTAAATATAGCTACTGAATAAACCAAAGACTCTCTTAAAAAAATGCATTTAAAATTGAAATCAAAAAGTAAGACCACCAATTTGTGGGCATGCAAAAAAAAATCACAAAGAAAATTGAAAATCTGAAACTAGACTTAAATAGGGCAACTTACATAGATGGCAGAAAATGAAATTTGAATCACAACATAAGAACCCTAAGCATTATTTATGTTGGGAACCCACGATTTTGAAGTTAGGACCTCACGATTCTGCTATTTTATGAATCTATTGGGTATTTAATTTACTCCTCTACACCAAGAAAGCTACATCTCACCCATGGCTAAGAACCCTAATTGCACTATTTTATGTTGGAAATTTGGATGTGAGAGAGAGAGAGAGATTGGGAGTGAAAGTTGGAGATGAAATTTGGGATGACGAAAGTGGAGAAGCAGGAAGAAAGGTTTAGAGTCTGATGATATGGTTAATTATGTGGTTTTACATTCTTTTTTATTTTTTAATAAGAAATAAGAGTAAAAAATAATAATGAAAATATATATTGGCGGGTTTGGCGAAATAGAAGAGGTAAAATTAGGAGGAAACCATAACCGTCCCCATAGGTAATTTTTCCCCAATATTGTGCCAATAGATACAACTATTGCAACGTTTGTGACAACCGTTGCTATAGTACTATATATGGCAACGGTTCCTGCACAATGGCAACGGTTCCTGCACAATGGCAACGGTTTGATTAGTATAGTGTATCGAAATCCTCCGGACCTTTTGGCGACGGTTAAGACCGTTGCGATACATACTGTATGGCAACGGTTCTGTTAACGTTGCATAAAATTTCGTTGCCATAGGCCTTATTTCCAGTAGTGTAGTAATTATTTGGATAATAAAATACTAGAACAAATTAATTAAAATCCTTTTAAAAATACAGAAAAATTATGGAAAAATATTGGTTGATACTCATGCACTATTTTTGAAAGTATATATGCATTTTAAAATATATGAGGGAAAAATTGGGTATCGACATACAGTGTTGAGTGCGAGTGCTGAGTGACTGTGAGGGCTGAGTGACGGCGAGGACTGAGTGACTGTGAGGACTGAGTGACTGGGAGGACTGAGTGAATTGATACTTTGAGAGTATCTTTATGGTTTTATCACTGAGTTGCATTGCATTTGACATGCACACTTGACATACAGGCATAGAGATGCATTTTTCTCATGTTGTACGGTATTGCATCATTAATGACTTTACATGCACATTGACATGTAGGCATGAGATGTATTTTCCTCATGCCATTTGTAAAAGATTTGGGTTTTCACTGATATACTTGAAAAGCTTGCCTATTTTTT